AGGACGCTACTGCTCCTGGCCATACTACTAGTAGCTAGAAGCTACTTAGGGGCTCCTCGCGTTACTACTCGGAGCAAGGACGCTACTAAGGGGCTCCTGGCCATATACTATTCCTGGCCTTACTACAAGGACGCTACTGCTCCTGGCCATACTACTAGTAGCTAGAAACTTTCCCTTTTTCCTCTCTTTTTCATCACCGAATGGGTCGTGCACGCACCGAGACGCGCCAGGCCGGAGCTTCCTCACGGCACTGGGGGAACGGGTGAACGTGCCCGACGAGGTGCCGCTGTCGAAGGGGACTCACCCAGGACTCCGAAATGACGTGAGTCTCAAAATTTGTGCTGCTTCATCTTCTTTTTGATGGACTCAAAATTAAGAAGGGTACTGTATATAGTATATAGATTCTCCCGGATTGGCCTGGTTTTGCATTTCATAATTACATTGTAAGGCACAGGTCTCTTGACTGGTTTCCCAACCGCGACCCACAAAGGAAGCGCGCGATCATTCAAGCCTCTGTGGTTTTACCTTTTTTTCGCTGCATGGATCCAGGTGAAAGACTACGCTGCATGGATCCAGGCATCTGTTGCGAGTAGCTCTCCTGTGGCGCAAGTGTGGCTTGGATGATGCAAGACCTCTGCAGGGTTTGGCCAGGTTTTTGGAGAGGTTTTCGGGTTGTGTCTATGGGCTGAAGAGGGTACCATATTCAGCATTTGGGTGATCCCAATTCCATGTTGTGTGTAATGATCCTTCAAGTCCCAATCTAGGAGGGTTCCTTTGCAGAATCCTTTGGGCCCCAAAACTGCTTCACCCTGCATCGTACCAAGGCCCACCCCGCAGCGCCGTACCCGCCCACCCCTACCACCCCTCACTGCCTTGCCCTTGAAAGCCGACGCTGATCCGGTCGGGGGCTTGGTTGAGATTTTGATCAAAGGCTATTGATCAGATGCTTCATGTGAAAGATTTTTGATATCAAAGTTGCCAATTGTCACAAGTGATTTCAGATTGACTTTGTCAAGTCATTGGAGGAATCAACTGGAGAAGTTAAGCGTCCCGGGGCCAATGCCTGCAAGCAAGCAGACTGACAATGGTTGGAATCCAAGCATGATACCAGCTGCACAATGATAAGGCACCTAAACAGAACAGTATTTCTAGTCCATGGAGAATCACAAGTAGCTGGTTGGTCAGCCATTCTCTTGATCATTCAGCTCGATACGCATCTCATTTAATCCGTCTTGGCACCCTTGTTTTGATACAGCTTCTGCGGCCTCCGTTTCGTTGAGTGCACGAAGCTGCCGTGCATCCACCTCAACAGATACAAAAAACCGCCAAGCAAGGGAGTGACATAGGGCACCTCAGTCATTCGCATGTGCGAACCCCGCGAAATTTGTATCACTGCAAGACCCATTCTCTAACCACTCTTGACAGCCTTTGATCTGAAAGCAACATTCTTCATGTGCTTAAACATGAAGTATATAGGAATTGAACTCTGTACATTGGAAACAATCTAAAGACCATAAATCAAAAGAGAAGAAAAACAAAAAGCTATTAGGTTGGAGGCCATTGCTTAGAACCCTTCGCAACGCTCCCGGGGTTGGCCATTAATCATCAGGTTGGGGGCCCAAAGACGACCCGTGGGAAAGACACTTTTGGAGAACGCAGTTGGACGACCCGTGACTCTTGTCACCTGCAGTTGGAGCCGCACTTGGCATTCCTGGTGCGTGCCCCTTCAGTGGATCCGAGCCCCGAGGCGCGAAAGAAGTTGGGGAGGAAAGTGGCTGAAGCGAAAACCAAACACATGGTGTCCATGGTGCTGCAGCCTTTCCTCACCACCTTCGAAGTTGGTTTTCTTGAAGATGAGATGCATGAAATCACACTCTTCATCTTCGTCATTGTTTGGACCAGCCCATCCTCGCAAGCTCTCTCTCTCTCTCTCTCTGTCTCTCTCTCGGGACGTTCCAGGGCTTTGGACTTGCGGCCGGACGTGCGGCCAGGTGCGTTTCAAACGTGCACAATCCAGTGGCCAACTCGAGCGAAGGCAGGGCCAATTTGGTGAGAAACGGGAAACAGAGGATTTCGCTTGTCTCCCACATGTTTTCGCAGTTGTGGTCAGTGCATTGACTCTGACCCCAGAGAGGTCCTTGTAGGATGTTCCGTCCTCAACATCCGGACTTTGGGCCGACAGGAAGCGGACGCATCCGCCATTGACCAAATATCCTCTCCGGCGGTCACTGATGATTTGGAAGCCTGTCGCTTGACGAAACTGGAGGGTGAGCATCGAGTATATCTACAGTAATTCCTTTTACTAGGCAGAGCACTTGCAAGAAAGATAGCAATTTGTGCTAGTGCTCGAAGTCTCTCTTGAACAGCATGGCATGGTCCTGTCACATGTTGGCCGTACCATTCCATAATGGATGGCTCTTTTGGTTTTGCACACGCTTTCATTTGTGGATTCTAATCACAATGCTTTGGGCTACCTCAAGTATTTCAAGGGTTGTCTTCCAGAACAGATGAATTGCAGAAACTGGTCCGCAGTTTTGCAGCTTGCGAGGACCGGCCCTCTCCTTTCTCAGCATGTTTCTACCGTGTTTTGGTCCCTGCAAGGTTGCTGAAGAGGACCTGCGCAGCGGACAGCTCCAGGCAGGGTGATCTGTAAGCGGCCATACTGTTATTTCTTGCCATCTTGAATCATGGATACCCCAGTTTGCTTGCAACATGAAGGGAGACCCATTTTGGAACAAGGAGGGCCGGGCACATGTGTGAAGATCCTCGCTAAGCAGTCTATGCTCCCTTGCACCAGAGAAGCTTCTGCTTTGCGGACAACATCTCAAGTTTCAAACTCCCAAACCCTGGTTTCCTGAATTCGTAGATTTGCTTTAGTAACAAGAAGCTACTAGGGCTCCTGGCCGTACTACTAGGAGAAGCTACTAGTAACAAGGGCCTCGCTTCTATAAGTGTTTCTTTCCATGTTTATGCAGGCGCGGCGTGCACAGACAGGGCCCTTCTGAGGGCGTCTGTGTGCGTTGGCAGAGCTGTACCGTGAGGCCCGGGAAGTGTGCTTGAAATCACGTGGGCGAGGATGCCAAGATGGCCTGAAGGTCAGTTGACAATCAAGTGGCAGTTTTCAACCATCCCTACCTTCTAGGGGGTCTTCAGGGACTCTAGGCATCTTTGTTGAGCATGTTGAGAGGAAGAGATCCTTTCAGAAACTTCCGCCCAAATTTTCGAAAGCCTTACGCGTTGCCGCGTTGTAGAGATCTCTGGGTTTGGCTCAAGAATAGCTATAGGCTATACAAAACTGGAGTTTTTGAAGGGTTGCCAATTCTTGAGCCCTACTCACTTACAGTTCTTGCGTTTAATGTTGGCTAGGGGAGCCGCGGAGCACCGTTTGTGCCCACGAAGTCCAGATTGTTTTCGCTTTGCAAGTGTGAAGAAGTAGCATTTTCCCTTTACTCTGGACTTCTGGCTGCCAAGTCAACCAGGCTCCAGAGCACAAAGACGAATCCCTGTTCTTGTCCACAGAGGGGTAAGAACATTTGCTCAGGTGCTAGAGATGCAGAACTGACAAGAACAGAACGTATCGATATCTATGTTCAACGTCAAAGAAATGCAAGATACCTACTGGAAACCACCTCCATAGACTGGTCTTTCGAGCTCTGTCCTTCCGAGTACGATTATATACAGCCGCCATTGCAACAACTGCAGGCAGCTCCAATTTTGGGTCCCCCGAGATCAAAAATCAAAGATTGGCTTGTCCTCTCTGAAGTGGGACATGCCAGCTGTACAAAGCAGCTTGCACAGCCACATCTTCCACAACATCAGGTCGGAAGCCGCTGCCAAAGTAGCTGCTTTCACGGCCTTGTATGCTTTCTGGAAGGCTTTGCTGGAAGCTAGCAGCAAACAGTAAAACGAAACAATGACCTGAGAGCTGGGAAGCGACCCAAAGCTCAATAGAAGCTGAGCTTCGCCTCCTTCCCGCACCATCGTCAAGGAAAATGGTGTGACCACATTGGATTTGCCTCAGTTTGAAGGCTGGTCGAGGTAGCACGTGACCTCAAACATGACCGCAACGAACCGTTTGGCCGATCAACTCACTGTAAGACCGGTAGGTCTCCTATCTCAAACACAATATGCTGCTTGCGTGCACAGCTGGATTGCCGAGATTATGATCATATATGTGGAAACATGCTATCCCGCGATTTCTTTGTGTGCTCCATTTCGACTCATCACCCTTTTTCCTGGGATTTTGTGGAGGAGTTTGACAACTTCGACCAGATTGCTCTCGCCTGTGCCTCAGTTGGCCACCGCTCACGTTCGGAAACTCACCAGTTTGGAGTCGTTTCCGCACAAGGGTCGAGGGTCGTTTGTCCGACGGTTCTCGACCGAAAGTGGCTCGTCCAGAGCTTCTCCCCCCCGAGCTTCTTCCATCATTCCATCAACACCGGATTTGAGCAGATCAAATCCTTGGGTCTGGTTCAAGAAGGCTGGTGCCCCGAGGCTCAAAAGCTGGAGAAGCATGAACTGATCGAGATGCGTCGCATTGCCACCCTGGTGCGCCGTGCCACCCTGGGTGGTTTCGCGTTGAGTCTTTATGAAATCCACCAGCTGAGATGGTAAAAGAAAGACCAACATGCAAGTCGGGAAGGAGAAGAAGGATAACGGCTTCTTTTCAGTGGTCAACTGATGGTCCAGCACCATGGCGACCATGGTTTTGATCCGCAGGTCTACCAGAAGAACAAGCGCTACAAGCAGGCTATCGAGCTTGCTCAGCATGACAAGATGTACAAGGAGAGTCCTTCGTTTTCTTTTCATGAAGGAGATCTGCTGGAAGTGTAGTTATAGGCCAACAAAGATCAACAAGACTTTAGTGACTAGGAAGCTTTGTTACGAATCAAGGGAAGGCACAGGTTGTTCCAGTTTACCACAATAGAAAGTTCATGAAAGTTCGCTTGATGGCAACCAATCTCTCAAACTTACGATCTAGTGTAGTTTTCTGGATTCAGGAAAATGACCCAAAGCCCAGCTTACCATCCAAAGCACATCTTTTGCCTTTGCATTTTTTGTTTCTGAAGTTGATCATGGCCCGAACTGCCCAAGAGGGTGCGGCTGATCGCGTTGAGCACCTTTGTTTCCTTTGGTAGCTTCTCAGAACGCTTCACCAGGACTGCATGGACAGCGCCATGGCAAGTGGAAATCAAGATTTGGCCGGACCATCTCAGCAGGTTTTCATTGGGTTCTCTGGTTTCACCGTCTTTGACCATCCACTTGACGATGTGGTTGTTTAGAAGACCGGATAGCACAGTATACTGCATGCAAAGTTGTTTTGCTCAGTGGAATAACATTTCATGATGCTCCAAAAGAGTTGGCCAACACACAAGAAGTTCACATCCATGTGGATACTGTATATATTTATAACGTATACATGTATATATGATTAAACTATATGTAATTATGTGTATATATCTATGTATTATTTATGTATGTATTTGTTGCTAACATCAAAAGGATCTCCAAGCACTCCAAGAATGGATTCCTCCGAGGCTGAAGGCCTGTTAAAGTACTTCGTCGAAAAGGAGATGAAGGCCTTTGGCAAAACGGAGCTCCTGAAAATGCCCGAAATAGATTTGCATTCTGGCCAACGACCTAGAAACACTGCAGCCGCTTCAATCTTTGTATTGAGTCGCATTTTGCCATGTGCCTCGAGAGAGACTCCAATGAACCTACAAGTAAACGCCCCTCACTCGTCCTCGCACTGTTCAAAGACATTTGGGTGCTCAGCTTCGTGCTTGAACGCAACAGGAATGCTTTGCGGCATGCTTGTACACATGCTACGACCTCATTCGTCGGGGGCCTGAGCCACGAAAGAATGTGACTGTTGGACAAGAGTCTGGCATCCGGGTGAGATTAGTCAATAGTTTGCACCAAGTCGAGGGTCTTCTCCAAAGGCGTCGGGCCTAGGGCCACAGCGTGTGGGGATTTGTCAAGACTCAGACTTACAGTAGATAGTAAATGATCCAACATTGGCTTTTGAAAGATGAAACACATTCTTGGGTGCAATTTCATGGTCGATGCCTTCACATACACTGAATCTAGGCAGCCCTTCCAGCCCTCTCTAAACCGACCCGCTCGCTTGGCCCAAGCTCTCCGGCATCATGGCGGCCGCACGACGTGCGCGACTGCCAGCGCTGGCGCTCGCGCTGCCGCTCGCGCTGGCGCTGTCGCCCTTGCGGGTGGGGAGTCCGGCGCCTCTTCGCGGGTGGTAGAAACGGCCGACCGTGGCCAAGCGGCCGATTGTTATTTGGCGCGTCTAAAAGCCATGGGGCCATGGGTTCTTAGAGCCACCAAGTCTGTTACATGTACTTAGATCCTTTCTGATTTTTTGGTCTTTCGCAGCAAAGCAGCTTTGAGCTTCTGTACCTCAAAAATATTTTCAAGTTTCAAGGCCGGCATGCATGTTCGATACCCTAGGATCGGTTTCTGGGCTATTCCTGCCAAAAGTGGGATCAATACCGATGATGTTCTTTTAATGCAGAAGCTAAGCATATCTGAAGGCATGGCTTGCGCCAGAGCCTCCAAGAAGACAGATGCTCTTGCTGCCAGGCAGGGAACTTGGGGTATGCAACTCTCCATTTTCAGATTCCTTTCTTGCGTGTTTGTTCTTGCCCAAGAAAACAAGCGAATCGCCGGGGCTGACATCCGACATTCGTCGAACAATCAATTTCACAAGCTGACTACACACATCAGCGAGTCTAAGATGTCTATGAATTTTGGGCACGTGCTGTGACAGAAGGTTCTTGAATGTTTAACTGCTAGCTTTCACGTGAAGCAGACAATGGTTGACATTCGCATCCCGGGTTGGTGTTCCTGGATGTTGTGATACTGGAGTGCTATACATGGGTCAGCATATCAGGGGCTAAGACTTGCTCCATCTGAACACTTTGGATGGTAGGACACAAGTGAATGTATGCAGCACATCTCCCTTTTCGTACGACTCGTGCAAGACCCCCACGAGCGAACTTCCAGCGCGTACGGTGATCATCTGGTTTGTTCCTTGGAGTTTGGTCAGAACTCAACCCCGCACTACCATGACAAGTTCATTTCCCAGTCAGTTCTCCAAGTAGATTCAGAATGATTCAGTGGTGTACTGGATCCACTTCACCCCTGAATTTGCTGGCTGTGAAATCACTCTCTGTAGCCTCCACAATGCCTCGAGGCCTCTTGGGCGCTCCACTGCCTGCGGGGGCCGTTGGCTTCTCTCCTGCCGATATTGGGATGGCCGAGGTCGATCCTCGAGAAGGGCAGAGAAGGGCAGTTGGAATGGAGCGACGGGATGGCAGCAACCGCACCAGTGATTTCTATCCATGTACGGTTTGCACATCAACTGATTGAATATGAATGATTCATACTTCCTTCAGCAAACACGGATTTTTTTTCTCTCCCACTCAAGCAGATTAGCTTAGCTTTGCACATGATGCAACCTGACATGCATTCCTGACCAGGCACCGGCTCCAGCACAAGTTCAGCGTGTCGAGGCCGACTGTAGCTTGTAGGAAAACATCAACTATGTTTGGAGGAATCCTGGCCAAATGACATGGAACAATGGCTGCCCTTGCACTTCAGAGACTGTCTCACAAAACAGAAGCACAGATGGAGAGCCTATCTCCCTTGTCCCACACTTGTTTTTCCACTCCAAAAAGGGGCCCAGGGCAGAGTGAAGCCCCTCCTCCTTCTCATTTCCAGGACGTTGATGAGCTGGAGAAAGCGTTATACCTGATCAGCCGTGTCCAAGAGGCCCCGGGGCTTGAACACAGGGCAAAGCACATCTTTCATTAGTCTCATTCAGGCCCAGCAAATGCCAGGCCACCGTGCAGCAAGAGCGCTTGGTGTCCACTGGCAAGTTCAAGGAGACCACTTTGCACGTGGTGTGCAGGCATACCAGTGTGAGGACTAGTGGTAAGCACACAGTCCTTCTTCGAGGTTGACTAAAAACGATGACCGTGTGAAGTTTTTGTATATAGTAGCTTCTTGTTCCTAGTAGTAAGGCCAGGAGCTACTAGTAGCGTCCTTGCTCCTAGTAGCGATGCCCTTTGTTACTAGTAGCTTTTTGTTCCGCATGGCTGTGGTTTGGGCTTCGCAAAATCCGATGTAATGTGCGCCGTGCTTAGACTGGACTGGATGTCCCGTCCAGTCTACCATGCGTGTCAGACGGATGCAGGACGTACAGCGAAACTCCATCACCATGGTGACCAGCTTAGCGTTCGCTGAACGAGCTTGACTCAGTGACCCACAAGGGCTCTGGCCAGAACTGCAGGAACAAAGGCTTTGGTTGCCTACGGGTTGAAAGAAATGCTGTAGTGTGTCTGGCTGGCTAGCGCACCCTTTTTGGCAGCTTGCAGTCTCAATTGAATCTATTTGAGAATCCAAGTGGGGTCCACACGGTGCGCACGTCTTTTGTCCGATTATGACCCTGGCCTAAGCGTCAGAAAATCAGAGCAATTGCCTGAGGCTTTGAACATGATGATGGACAATTATCGCCTTGCTGATCAGGTCCGAACTTTTATCTCTTCCGGAGAACTGATTCCAAAAAGAATCAATTCAGCCACAAAGTGTGGCTTTGCTTGTATGCCTGTTCTAGGTCAGTCTTTTTGCATACAAGATCATGTCGTTTCAAGGCAATGGTTCTCACTGGACATGACTGCTTGAAAGTTATTTTTCGGCATTGAATTGTCGCACAACTTCAATCGACGACTGAACGCCGGCTTGGCCTGGCCAGGTCGTGACTGCTGCAGGCTATGTGGAACCCAAAGAGAACATCGTCAAGGCGGACCATGACTTGGAGTCACATAGGAGGGCAACCTTGGGGAGACATACCACATATTACTGTATATTGTATATCACAATTTCTATATAGTTCGAAATCCTTCCAGTCTTCAGATTGGGACTTTGTATTCAAGCTGCTTGAAAAGGCATCCCACTGTGCCAGGCCAGCCAAGTCGGCAATGACGCGGTAGAGGTCTTGGAGACCGCCAAGGAATACTTTGGCCAGCCACTCAAGGCCGAGAGGTGATGGTTGTTGAGAGGGCCAGCAGGGTGCAGCAGGGTGCACCAGTTGACTTGAGCATTTTTTGAGGCAAACTGTCTGAAGATGTCATGAAAGGGACCCAACGAGTCCAATTGACTTGTTCTTTGCCTTTCTTCCTTTTGGCTTGATTCTTCTTCAAGTAAAGGAACTTCATGGGAATGCACAAATCGAAAACACATTACTTTACATACCCTCGACAACGAGGTTAAGACTTTTCACCAGCGGTGTTTCCCGCCCTAGCTTCAACAGGTCTCCGGCCTCACAGATGAACAAAGCAGCTTGGAGTTTTGATAACTCACGTATGTGCAAACACAGGCTCATTATGGTCTTTTTGCAGAGCTCTGTTTGCCGACAAGGCTTTGATGATAGCAAGATGTAGGCATGTTCTAGCTTTGCCTCGTTTGATTTGCAGATGCGCACAGAAAATAGCAACCAAGTTGAGCTTGATCAGAGGTTCAAAAGACTCACTGCTTGACTAGATTGATTAGAAAGGACACAAAATCCAGCAACCGCCTTGGACACCTCCTCGTTGCTCAGGAAAGTTCATCATCGAGGCTATGCAAGCCTGCAGCTGCTTGCTGGAATTTGTTTGATGTTACATGATCGACGAAAGCCTTGTCATTGGCAACTCCAATGAGAACTTGTATTCCGATATTTACTGCTCCAAAGTGCTATGTATGAATATGATTCAATGATTGGCTTGGGAAGACAGCTTAGAGGTGCTTCGGGTTTAAAGACTCCAGGCCCAGGCAAAACAAAGGAATAGCAGTCAAACTTGAAGTGAAGGGCGGCTGAGACTTCTTTTTTTGGTTTCTAGATGAAGCCGAAGCTAACACTCCCACAAACACGTGAAAAGAACAAGAACGGAAGTTGGCCCCGTCTCCTCCAGAAGTTCCATGGGCGGTCAATTCCGCTCACCCATCGACCATCGACCCATCGTCACGACCTGTCGGCACACGAGCTTGTCGTCCTGTCCTCGTGTTCAAGGAACCAAGCTGGACAACTTCTTGGCCGCTTAGCTCAGAAGGTTCTGGGCATTGCGAGACATGGTTGATAGAGTTGAATGACAGGGAGTTGGTTTTCCATGTGCTTGGGGTCTTCAAGGGGATTTGGTGGATTGATGTCATTGTTTTTGCCAAGCCCTGTTGTGTGCGGGTTGATCACGAGTGGTGTATCCCTTTGTGCTGATTGGTGCTCATCACCGCTCCTGTGAGACTCTCAAACAGCGCAGAGATTTTGAGGTCTATGTGCCAGAAGACGTGCTTCAAAAAGCCAGAAAGAGAGTAGAGGATGAGAGCCCTGGACATGATCAGTGCGGGTGGACTTGCCATATTTGGAGATGGTGATTTTTCCTTTATTGGGTTGATCGTGATGTGCGGGGCACATAAATCATCAAGCCACATGTTTGACCAAATGAACAGAACCGGAATTGGATTTGTGAGGTCGTTCACCAAAACCCATTGTTTGTGTTCGGTCCCGAAACACAGTGATGCACCAAGGAACGAACTCAACCGGCAGGAATACGCTGGTGAGGACGGCCGCCTTTTCCTTCCACCGGCTCGCGCGGCGCTATCGCACAAAAGCCGTGCAAACAATTGATCTGGGAAATTTCCGTTTTCTTCGGCCGCGGACAGCGCATGTGAATCCCGCCTATTCCAACGTAAAACTCATGAAAACGAACGCCGTATCGGGCGGAATCACACAACATTCTAGGTACGAATGGCCCTAGGACAAGACCCGGCCCACCTTCAATCTGGAGACGATCTCTCCGAAAAGCCATTTACAATCGTCAGAGGCCACTATCACCAGCTGGCAGACACTTGGAGCCACTTGCAGACACTCCCAGCTGATTGATAGTTGACATGCCCGAAATCAACACAGATCAGGAGCCCCTAGGCCACTTGCAATCACTGGAGTGGAGTGGCTGCAAGTGGCTCCATACAAATTCGACCGCTTTGCTTTGAACCTAACCTAGTTCGTGGAGAAACTCAGACATCGCCCAAGACATATTGGATACAAGTCACCTTCAAAGTTGAGGAACATGCTTTGGTTTCAGACTCACCATCCATCGCAAGAAGAAGGGGGCCAGTCAAAGTGTGGCAATCACTCTGATCAAGTCTTAGCCCCGACATCGAACATCCCGCTTACTCATGACTTGAGATAATCCTTCTCTTCACAGCCGCAGGATGGAGGCATCCTCAACCCGGTGACTCTTCCGTGGCTGGACCGAGAAACACAGACCTGGTGACTGGTAACTCCTGCAACCAACGCATGTCATGTCCGATGTCCTGCAGGACTGATATGATGTTCGGTGGTGTCACGCACACAAAAAACACATACGGTACACTGGTAGGGGCATCACTCATTTGCTCGATGTCCTTCCTCCGATCACCGAGGTGGAAGGAGCCCAAGAGGAAGCCACGATGACTCGACGTTCGGTCGATTTTGTACACTTGCGGCATGGATGAGAGGCCATGTTGACATTTTCCGTTCACTCCGTTGACTCCGTTCAGGAACAGTCCTGCTGGACACGTTTCTTTGGGGAATTTTCAGATCCACAGACCGTCTCGGTAGATGAGTCTCCTCTACATCCACGCCGAAAGCAGCTGGTTTCCGCCAGCCCGGGAGACCCCTGGACCGACCGCCACGAGTCAGTTTTCGCGGATGAGAAAAGGTGCTTAGGTTCGGTCGGATTCCAGCAGAGTCGGTGGGATAGCGAGTGATGAGTAGAGCACACATGGCTGAAACGATAAGCTAGTTGTGTGTGGTTTGGGATTGTTTGCATTTGTTTGGGATTGTTTCCACTTGTGATGTTTGTCTTTTAACATCTTTTAACTTCTAACCCGTTAAAGCATCATTCAATTCTTTTGCAATCCGCCGACCGATCTCCGGCGACGCCGACAAACACACCGCCGGTGAGTCCGTCCGAGGCCCGGATATCGCCCTCGAGCTGGCCTGGAAGAGCCGAAACATGGACTTTGCCATGCCCTACCTGATCCAGGCAGGTTTTGGACGGTTTTGGGGGAGGGGTGCCCAGCTTTGAGGGCTTTGCGGGGGCCCTTCAGGGCCGTCAAGGCCATCAGGGCCTTTTCATCTTTGCAGCTCTTTCCGATCGCCACATCGCTTCAGCTTACAGGTGATGCGAGAATACACCGATCGAGTGAATGCACTGGACAAGAAAACGTGCCTTGGCCGAGTTCGCCACGATTAATTTTGAGATATTGAAGGGGTTTCGGACCTCAGAATGGCTTGGAATGTGTGGGACAGCGTTACTTTATTTTTGTTTATTGTATATATTTATAATATTACTTATTATATTACTATTATTACTATTATTTTTTGTTATTATTGTTATTTATTTTTATTGTTGTTATTATTACTTTTTTTTTAATGGTTATATATATATATGCATGTATACATATGTATACTCCGACAGGTACACGTTTCGCTTGGTTCAAGAGGTTCAGGTTCGCAGGAGTTTCGGGGAAAGTTGCAGTGGTTCTAGACGAAGGTTTTGGGAGGTGAGCTGATTCTAAGGCGGGTCCCAGGATGCTCCTCACGCGAAATGTGTTTTTGTTTTGGGTTGATTGCATTTTGGTTTATATAGTTTAATTCTATCAATTGCAGATTCAGATGTGACAGTGAAGTCGCAGGAAGCTGAGGGTCGGTTCTCGCACGTTTTTACTTGGTGACTCCTGCAATGCGTGAACCAAGTACAAGCTCTCAGTTCTGCATCTCAGGCAGAAAAAGGAAGAAGAGGAGGAGAAGCAAAAGAGCGCTGGAAACTCAAGGTATTGCAACTGCTAAAGGCCATGGGCACTGTGAACCTTGACATCATATCTCCAGATATACACTTTAGGGCGCACAAGACAAAGAAACACAAGCCTGTGACGTTGTCCCTCATCAAGAATCGGACACGCTCAATTGATCTTTTATTGAAGACTAGAAGGCCGGAACTCAACCGGATTGTCAGCCAACTCTCGAGCTCTTCTGTTCTTTGACCCAAGGCTCCTAATGACTATGTGCCGGATTACATGATGCCGACCATGGGACCAGGTGCCTGAGATGGAGTGTCAAGGGCCAAACTCTCCATGAACGTGGACACAAAAGCAGTCCTCGGATTGTGTGAGGACTCACTGGCTTCGGGAACTTAGCGCTGACCAGTGGCAGAGGGCCTCAGGGCGCCTATCACTATGCACATGATTCATGTGTAGGGTGACTTTATGAAGAAGTCAAGAAGGCGCTGTGCGGCACTGCGCCCTTGATTCAGATAGGAAACTGCGATTGAGATAGCCCCATTTGAGGTCCGGCCAACATGCAGCCCATGATGCAGGGGACCTCATTGCACAAGGAACCAGGTGTTCTACTTAACAGACTCCTGCAAAACTGGAGCAATGTCTACATCATGAAGGGCCAGGTCAGAACTTTGCATAGAGTTGTTATTTTTATTTTTATTTTTTTTCAAGGGGTCTATTGCTGTCATTGTTTGAAGCCTGGGTCTGAAATTTTGGACTGGCAGGACAACATTTGGTGCAACCATGCTCTCGTTTCTGAGCAAATCAACAACATCAAACACATCTCTTCCGTGGGTCCGCCATGATGCTTGTAAAATCTTGCAAAGGACCATAGCCAAATGACTTGTGAACATTTTGTACCATTTTTTCTTTGTGTTCGGGTAAAGGCTTTTTAGGATCAAAGTGCAACTGATCTGAACCTTTCAGTCTGAGTCCATCTGGCAGCTTGGTGACTTGGTGTCGTGTGTGGCCAAACGAGGATTGCAAGGGGTGATGAAGCTCCTTCAACTCCTTAGACACTTGTGGCTCGTGCAAAAGCACTTGGGAAAATCTTCAGAAGCTGAGGGGTAACACTATGAACATGGGCATGCAGCCCCAGCCTGGTATGCAGCGGGGCACCCCGGATCGGCTGTCCCGGATGAAGACAAGTTCATACGGTCAACGAGGTACAATCTACTACGTTTAAGTCGAAGACCTCAAGTTGACAGCACCCAGAGACCCAGAGAAGCATCAGATGCATTCGATTCATATGAGGGCTTTCAGTAGGTCTGAGGCAATGCGGCGGATCTTAAGATTATCATCACGAGAAGGCAGCCCTACAGAGTCTCAGATTTGATCTCAGAATTTCGAGGTTTCACGCCCTGTCCTGGCTTCTTGGCCCTGCCCAGGCCAAGCATGATGATGACTCCAAACATGGGCGGCTTTTGAGTTGCGCTAGGCCCTCAGGTGCTCATGTGCCTTGTGTGCGATGTAGTGGTAGGCGTTGCTTGGAAGCAGAATACCCTCTTGCGTTTGATGCAGGAAACAGTAGTGGCTGGGTGTACATTGTTGATGTGGAAACTCATCCATCCATCTCACTCTAGATTCAACAAACAATTGCCTGCAACCATCAAGACTTGGTGTGGTGGTTTTACTCCACTCAAAAAACCCGCTGGAAATTCAGCCAACTGCTGGCCCTTATGTCGTCGCCGGATTGTGAAGGACTTCGTTTGTCCCAGCCAGGCGGGCAACCACTAGACCCTGCAACGCTTGACTGACGCCAAATCGGTGCTCGGGGGCGGGGCAGAGTCTCCGCCAAATGGTCCACGAAAGAAACCCATGAAAATTGAGGATTGTCAAATGAGCTTGTCTACCTTCAAAGATGTAAATGCAAACCTAAGACCTAGTGCTGAAGAGCTGTTTTTTGCTTTCGGGCTTCTTTTGCTAGTATGGTTCGTCAAGGGGCTACGTCAGATTTCGAGCCCCGGACCAATGAATGAATCTAGCATGCTTTCCAAGCAAGCTTAGGTTCTAGAATGAACGTAACCAGCAGAAGACCACCACACCACCAGCCTTTTTGGAGGTGTGAAGCTTGAGCTTGCTATTCTCCTTGCAGGATAAAAACCCAGGTGAGCATCAAGCTGCGGAATTATAGTCGGCAGCAGAACGTGGGTTCAATTGATCCCATCCATACCTGCCAGCCTTCGGTGCGGCCCTTGCAGAAAAAAGACCAAAGACCGTAAGGAATTGCTTCTTGTTACTGTAGTAACATGTCCTCCAAGCTAATAGCGATGGTCTCCACCCTAGTGGCTTCTGGTTCCTAGTGCACAGAGTATTTGATTGTCCCTCTTTGCTGCACAGAGCAATCAAAAGACTAGAAACCGCTCTTTTACTGCATTCTGATCGCTCCTTTTGCGACTCCATCCGAAAGACAGATCTCATCCGGAGTCGATCGGGCGGGATGGCAAGCAGGACCTGCAAATTCATGGGCTCAAGGCGAAGTGGCAAGGTAGGTAGGGTGCGGCGCGTTCCTAGCATCGCCTGGACCTCAGGCGGTGCGTGTGGCGCACCTCAGTGGTTCATTTCCTGCACATCTGACAGAATGTGACTGTGCATGGTCGGGATGATGTTTCCTCCTCGCTTGAGGACGTGCTATGCGGTTGAAGTTAACTCATGAGGACTGAAACAGTTGGTGGCGTCAATCCAAGACGATTGACACGGGGCCTGACCGTACTCTCAAGAGCCAAGAAACGCCTGATGAAGATGATGGCAAAGACGTGGGGGCGGTAACAGAGGCGGGCTCGGTTCTTCTCAGACCAGCAGTCCAAAGACTGGTCATGCACCCCTTGTAACCATCTTGGCTATTGGCTGCCATCACTTGCACCCCACCACTACTGGGCATGGGCTGAAACCTGGAGGCAAACCTGGGCTCACCTTCTATCTCTTCTTCTATCTCCTTCTTCTTCTTTTTCTCTTCCTCCTCTTCTTCTTGTTGAGGTGGAAGGCGAGCTAAGGAGACCGTTCAAGAACGTGTCCCCAAAAAGGTGAACTCAACAACTCGAAACTGCATCTTCACTCAAGGTGTTTAGGCTTTGGGCACCTGCAAAGCCGCTTGTTCATCACCTGTGAGGATGCGCCTAAGCACAAGTCATTGGTGACTGCCGTGGGCTGGTTGGCAGCTCAGGATGCCATGATATTGCATGTGATCCTTGCTTCACAGCTAGCAGCTAGCTTTGTCGTTTGCGTGGGGGAAATTGTGGTGCATGGCTTGACTTTTGCAGTTGAACCACTACAGTGCTGAGGTACAAGACAGGCAAGCAGTATGAGCTTCTATCTGTGGGTGACGATCAGGAGCACTTCAAATTCTTCGGGTCGCAGCATGTTGTGTTTCCGTGGACCGAGTCAGGTTTGAAAGCATGAACCAGGAAAGGAGGCACCTCATGTAACCAAACTACTAGCAGAGTGTGGAGACACAAATCTTTGCCCTGCCAAATGGACAACGACCAGCTGAGCGCCTAGCAAAGAAACGATGAAACCTGGCTTGAATGGTCCAGCTGATGCAAGAAGGAGTGCTGGAAGTGGCATGTTGAAGGGTCGCCCATTGTGACCGCCTGAGAACATCCATGTGTATCAGTGAACATTTCTACGACATATCATGAAACATCTTTGCTTCTCCAATCCAATCAGAACCCCTAAAGACTCCGCGTTACTCCGTCCGATCAGAACCCTTTTCGAAGTCGGGTCCGACGTCCCAAGGCGAAGCTCTGTAGCTGCGAGTCCTTCTGCACGGTGACGCTGGCAACGTCGTTCCCGGGTCATTGGGTGGACGGTTCCAGGATTTGTTTTTCGAATTCCAGGCACCTTCAAGCTCGGTGACGCACCAAAGACTTTCAAGAAAGGAACTGAACCTACAGGGTGTGGTTCAAGCCAAGAAACTTCTGAGGATAGCCCTACTACAAGGGGAAACCGGGCCAACTCCAGTGCCTTTGGAGCTATTCTGCCTTTTGACCGACGTTTTGCGGCCAGGCGATGGCTTGGATGCCAAGTGGCAAAGGTGCTCTGGCCGAAATCGAAGGGCTTCCCAGCATGCCGAACAGGATTCTTTTCTCAAGTTTTGAAGTTGGCTTCCAAAGGATCTTATTTCTGAGTTCGTGCAAGGTCAGTAGGCAGCATTTCTTTGTTTTCAAGCATCCCAACTCCCACTGGTACACAGACTTGACGTCTTGACGTGTCTTGAACACTTGGTAAGAGTATGTACTGTAGGACCTGTATGCCAGCTTATGTGGACCGTCACATAAAATGGTTTAGTCGGTGCATGATGGTGCTAAGAGATGCTGAAAGCACTTGGCCTTGATCCGATGTGAGGGTCTGTCAGCCAGGATGTCGAGACTCCAAGGCAAAAAAGGAAGGAACACTTGTGACGAGGTTTATAGAGTTCAAACTTTGGACATGTTTCTACTGCATGCGTGGCATGTGCTTGAAGAGCAAGTGATGCAGGTTCAGACAATGCCTTTGCCTTGGGCTGTGCAGACGGCACATTTCGCCTTATCAGCGAAATGGGTCGAGAAGAGAAGAAGGCACTTGGCTAACAATCTCCGGGTGGCACCAAGACCAGTACTTCTTTTGTTGGACTCAACATCTCTAAGGATCTCCCCCGGTCCATGTGTTATTTTTGCGACGCCACACGAGAGACGCCGCCGGTGGCTTCGTTGCAGGTGGACGCTCACCGGGGTGCTGTGATCGCCCTACGGTGGAGCTTTGATGGACAGGGGACCCAAGCGACTGTAAAGCAGCTATGCAGGTTCAACATGACTAGGCACACCGCCTCATGGGTTCTGGTTTAGGAAGAGAGTGAATACAAGAGTTAATTAGAATTAACTCCGGTGTTAATTCTTCATCTTCAACCCCTATTCAACCCTGCACTCGATGGGGAATTAACTCAAGAGTTAATTCCCTCAGCAACGTTGTGCACAAAGACACGCCAAGAATGAATTAACACTGGAGTTAACTCTTTTCCTTGGGTTGGGTTTCTTGTTTCCTTTTCCTTGTTTCTCTATGAATGTTTCCTTTAGCAAGGGAGAAGAGAGGCAGAAGGCAGGGAAGCACCAGCAAAGAATTAACTCTGGAGTTAATTCTTTTCCTTGATCCCCTGGTTCCTCTTCTCCTGGTGAATGAAACCTTTTTCCATAGTAGGTCTTATGGGTGTTTCCTTTAGCAAGGCAGGAGGCAGGGAAGCACCAGCAAAGAATTAACTCTGGAGTTAATTATTTTCCTTGGTCCCCTGGTTCCTCTTCTCCTGGTGAATGAAACTCTTTTCCATAGTGGGTCTTATGGATGTTTCCTTTAGCAAAGGAGAAGAGAGGCAGGAGGCAGGGAAGCACCAGCAAAGAAATAACTCTGGAGTTAATTCTTTTCCTTGGTCCCCTGGTTCCTCTTCTCCTGGTGAATGAAACTCTTTTCCATAGTGGGTCTTATGGATGTTTCCTTTAGCAAAGGAGAAGAGAGGCAGGAGGCAGGG